AACCAAGTTGAGCACCTTTTCACATATCCATTGGCCATTTGTCTTCTTGGGAGAAGTGTCTGTTCATATCTTCTGTCTTTTTTTTTCTCTCTATTTTTTAAAAAATATACATTTGTATTATTGATAGTATTATAGATATCTCCCATTTTCTCCTCCTTTCACCTCCTTCTCCCAGCCCCTACCCACTCCCCTATGTCTTTGCCACCTACTGCCCATGTCCATGGGCTATGCATATAAGTATATAAGTTCTTTGGTTTATCACTTCTTACCCCCTCCCTCCCCACCCCACATTGAGGTATGTCAGTCTGTTCCATACCTCCCTGCTTAAGGTCTTATTTTGTTGGTAAATTCCTTTTGTTAATTAGGTTCCACAAATAGGTGAGATCATGTGATATTTCTCTTTCTCAGTTTGACTTATTTTGCTTAACATAATGCTCTGCAGGCCCAAACATACTGTTGCAAAAGGCAGGAGTACCTTCCTTTGTACAAGTCCTTCGGTTGATCTCCTACCCTCCCCAACCCCCCATACCACATCTTTTTTATCCATGCATCCACTGATGGACACTTGGGATGTTTCCAATTCTTAGCTATTGAAAATAATGCTGCTATGAACATAGGAGGGCATATATTTTTTTCTGATAGGTGTTTGGGGGTTTTTAGGATATATTCCCAGAAGTGGGGTCACTGGGTCAAATGGAAATTCCATTTTTAACTTTTAAAGGAAACTCCATACTGCTTTCCATAGTGGCTGCACCAATCTGCATTTCCACCAGCAATGAACTTGTGCTCCCTTTTCTCCACATCCTGGATAGCACTTGTCTGTTGGTTTTTCTGATGCTAGCCATTCTGACAGGTGTGAGGTGATATTGTCATTTTAATTTGCATCTCTCTGATGATCAGTGACTTCGAACATTTTTTCATGTGTCTCTTGGCCATTAGTATGTCCTCTTTGGAGAAATGTCCATTCAGGTCTTCTGCGCATTTTTTAAATTGGATTGCTTGTCTTCTTTTTGTTAAGTTGTATGAGTAATTTATATATTTGGGATATAAATCCCTTATCAGATGTATCATTGGCAAATACGTTTTCCCATTCAGTGGGTTCCCTTTTCAATTTGATGGTGGTTTCTTTTGCTGTGCAGAAGCTTTTTATTTTCATGTAGTCCCACTTGTTTATTTTCTCCTTAGTTTCCTTTGCCCTAGGAGATGTATCCATAAATATATTGTCACATGAGATGTATGAGATTTTGCTGCTTATGTTTTCTTCTAAGATTTTTATGGTTTCATGCCGTACATTTAAGTCTTTTACCTACCTTGAATTTATTCTTGTGTATTGGACAAGTTGGTGGCCTCGTTTCATGTGTCTTTCCAGTTTTCCCAACACCATTTGTCTTTACTCCATTGTATGTTCTTGCCTCCCTTGTCAAATATTAATTGACCACAATGGTGTGGGTCAATTTCTGGGGTCTGTGTTCTGATCTATTGGTCTATATGCCTGTTCTTATGCCCCATACCAGGCTATTTTTGTTGTAATGACTTTGTAGTATAGTTTGATATTTAGTATTGTGATCCCCTCTATTCATTCTTTTTTCTCAAGGTAGCTGCAGCTCTCTGGGGTCTTTTATGGTTCTATATACATTTTTGGAGTATTTGTTCTAACTCTGTGAAGTATGCCATTGGCATTTTAATAAGAATTGATTTGAATCAGATTTCTTTGGGTAGTATAGACATTTTAATGATGTTAGTTCTTCCAACCTATTAACATGATATACACTATTTGTATCTTCCTCTATTTCTTTTTTGAATGTCCTTTAGTTTTCCAAGTACAAGTCTTTTAACTCCTTTAAATTTATTCATTTTTTAATAGGATTGTATGTTTGGTGTTGAGTTGTATGAGTCCTTTATATAATTTGGATATTAAATTCTTGTCAGAGCTGTTGTTTGCAAATATCTTCTCCCACTTGGTTGTTGCTTTTTTGTTTCATTGGCAGTTTCCTTTGCTGTGAAGAAGCTTTTAGTTTGATATAGTCTCATTCATTTATTTTTCCTTTTATTCCCCTTGCCTTTGGGGACAAATTCATAAACTATTTTCTAAGACCAAGGCTTATAAGTTTAATATGTACATTTTCTTCTATGTAATGTATTGTTTCTGATCTTATACTTAGGTTTTTGATCCATTTTGAATGAATTTTTGTACATGGCACAAACTCTACTCTAGTTTTATTCTTTTGCATGTGACTTTTCAATTTTCCCAGTACCATTTATTGAAGGGGCTTTCCTTTCTTCATTGTAGGTTTTTGATTCATTTGTCAAAAATGTATTTGTCCATATACATGTGGTTTTATTTCTGGGATCTCAATTCTGTTCTTTGGTCTGTGTATCTGTTTTACTGCCAATACCATGGGTTTTTTTTATTATGTTTATTCTGTAGTATAATTTTATGGCAGGTAGTGTGATACCTTCAGCTTTTTTCTTTTTTCTGAGGATTGCTTTGTCTCTTTAGTTCCTTTTGTAGTTCCATATACATCTGATGATATTTTTGTTCTATTTATTCTTAAAATGTCATTGAGATTTTAATGGGATTGTATAAAATCTGTATATTGCTTTGGGTAATATGGACATTTAGTTATGTTGATTTTTCTAATCCATGAACACAGAAAGTCTTTCCATTTCATTTTGTCTTTTTCCACCTCTTTTAATAATGCTTTGTATTTTTCAGTAGATACGTCCCTCACTTCCTTTGTATTTTATTTATTTATTTTGCAATTGCAAAAGGAATTCTTTTCCATATCTTTTACTGAAATGTCATTGCTAGTATATAGGAATGCAGGGGATTTTTGTACATTGAGTTTTGTATCCTGCTACTTTACAGTATTTGTTTATTGTTTCTTATTTTTTTGGTGGAGTCTTTAGGGTTTTATATATAAAGAATCATGTCATCTGTCAAAGTGACACTTTTATTTCTTCATTCCCAATTTGGATGCCTTTTATTTCTTTCTCTAGCTTGATTTTTTAAAGATATGGTTAATGTCACTGCCCAGTGTAAGCCACCATCATCTTTCACATGAATGATTACAATAACTGCTGCCTATTTACTCATTCTTTCATTATTGTCCCTCTTCCACCCACAATATATTTTCTACAAAAGATCCAGTTGATCAGTTAAAATGAAAATCAGATCATATCACTTTATACTTAAAGCCTTCAATGGATTTTCAACACCCTTAGAAAAAAATCTGAACTCCTTACCATGGCCTGCATCATCTGGCTTTAGGCTACCTCTTCATTCTTAACTTGTGCCACTCTCCTACTATAATACTCCAGTTACACTTATTATCTGTACTTTCTCCTATTAATATAAGTTTGCTCCTGTCCCAGGGTGTTTTGTATTTGCATTTGCTTTTTATCTTCAAGTCTCAGATCAAATGACATTTATTTAGAGAAGCCTGATATTACTCTCTATCACAGGGGCTGCAAAAAAGCTTCAAGGGTCCAGGAAATAGGGAATAGTGAGTGAAGCAGCTAGTTGGAGTCTGTGGGAGAACCTGATAATCCATGCCCTATTTAAAGAGATTTACTACTCAGCTTCAGCTAATTTCTGCATGCAGAAATGCAGATTGTTTGAGTTTTCAAGAGAAGCTAGAAATCTGGATTTTCACTTGGTAATATTCTAATTGTTAAAGATTAGTAACAAATGCAAAGTTTTAACAGACACAGAGATCAGACAAAATATAAACCTGAACCCAGTACATCCAATATGCCTCTTCTTTGTAATCACTGCTTTATCACATAATTCTGTTTTCTACTATCGGAAACTGTATAATTTTGTGTCTGTCTTCTTTTCAGAAGATATTAGTATGCCTTGAGACTTTACTTAAAAATTATAATCACCATATGACATTAATGCTCTAACAAAATTAACAGCAAGTCCTTAATATAATCTAATATTCAGACCATATTAAAATTTCCCCCATTGTCATATAGGATCTTAATAAATATTTATTAAGTAAATGATAAATGAACATAAATAACTAAAGTACACTTTCTAAAGTTTTGAAACAGAATCTTTTTGTCAAAAGAGCCTTATTTTTCAAATTTGAAAAAGCAAACAATTAGTTCAGTTAGTATAATTCTAGTCATGCATATAAAAACTAACAGTAAAACTCCACAGTAGATATTTACCCAGGAAAAATGAAGGCATATCTCTCCACCAATACTTGTACAAGAATGTTCTCAGCAGATTAACTCACAATATCTAAGCAGCAGAAACAACCCAAATGTGCATTAATGTGTAAATGGATAAATAAACTATGAAATATTCACACAATGAAATATTACTCGGCAATAAAATACACAGCAATGTAAGTCCCAAAGGCATTATGCTGAATACAATAAGGCAGACAAAATAGTAAATATGGTATACATTTATTTATATAAAATTCTAGAGCAGATAAAACTAATATATGGAGGAAAAAATATCATAATAGTGGCTGTATTTAGTGAGAAGGAGCATGAAAGAATATTCTGGAGTATGGTAATATTTATAGAGATTTTGGTTATACGAGTGTGTACATTTATGGAAATGCTGAATGGTACATTTATGATTTGTGCTAGTTTTTATATGTATATTTCATCCCCAAAAGAATTATAAAATATTTAATTTAAATATGTACTGATATCTTCTACTTACATTTAAATGCACCAAAAATAATTAAGCTTTATGAATGATGGATAGAGGAATGAGTTTGTGAACAGGTGTTTGATAAATCAATATAGTTCAATGTTAGTAGTGGACTGTAGTGGTGGGCATACAAATTTTTATTGTATAATTCTTCCATCTTGGATAAAATTTTGAAATTTTTTATAATAAAATGCTGAGAAAGACTCCATATTGTTTTTCAGAAGAGAAGAGGAAAAAAGGGGCTAGCCTAAGGATATATATGACTTAGACTTTCTGAGACACTTGCTGATTTGCCTTGCTGGTTGACTTTGGATGAACTGACCTCCACTTCCAGTCCTTGTGTAAACTGGTAGCTTCTTGGCAATATCAACGAGGATCTGCTTTTGGACATCAGGTCTCTCTTCATTTTCATAGCGCTCCTTATCTGTATAGGATAAATGAAACTGGAAGCAGAAGTGAGAAGCAAGTATTTATTTCCCAAAGTTCACAAAAAAATTAAAAACAACAATAATCATTGAGAAGAAGAGATTTGTTACCTATCCTGAAGCTCACTTACCCATTTGGCATATAACTTTCGCTGGAGAATTATCTCAACTAGCAATCTGGCTTTTATCGCGATCTTTATAACTCTGCATGATAGGTCGTTTTGTTTTATAAGTAAAATAAAACTTATAGTAAGTAACTTGAGCATCGTTACACGCACTCAACCAGTAAGTAGCAAAACTAAGCCCAAACCCAGTTCACCGTACTCCAAGACTTGTACCCTGTATACTACAATATGATATTACATTCTGATGTGTGATGTCTTACTGACAGGACCCTAATAACTATGAATAACTATGCTTATTATTAAGTTTTGAGTATTTTGCATAGGTGACACTTTTGTAGGATCTGGATGAGACTGCTTGTGAGATTATCTGGATATTCTAATTTTGAAAATAAGTAGAAATTTGGATATTCTCACTATTTCAATAATTTGTACTCTGGTATGAAACTTCTTGCCATGTCTGCACCATACCTTGCTAACCTTGCAAAAGATATTCCAATAATTTTCCAAAGTAACACAGACCTTAAAGCTTTCTTCTGTCTGGGCAAAAGTGTTGGTAAATGTGAAAAAAGAGAAGGACCTCTGTTCATATTTTCTGGGTTTAAGTCTCATATCTGCAACTTGATAGTTTAAAAAATTACTTTGGAAAATCAGACTTTGTCATTCTAAAGTTACCCAACAGTAAAACAGAGGCAATAATAACTATTTAACACACACAGAAATAAATGTGACTAAGCTTCAAAAAAATATGGTTTTCTCTGGCTGGAGAAAATTAATTATTTGTTATGAATTCTTTACAATAAATTTCAAAAAGTGGTATGCCAGACCACAAAATATACAAAATTATAAGGCCTTTGATACATATTACCAAACTATCTTTTAGTTATTTAACAATTTACCTTCTAACTAGTATACCATTTTTATTGTCTTTTTTGTGATTTTTCTGAATTTCATACAAAAATCACTTATTACTTTAAATTGAAGAAAAAATAAATTATTGTTTTAATCTTTATTGTTCAGATTATTACAGATGTTCCTCTTTTTTCTCCCCCTAGCTCTCCTCCACCCGGTTCCCACCCCACTCCAGGCCTTCCCTCCCCTCCCCCATTAACCTCGTCCGTAGGTGTAAACTCTTTGTCCAATGTCTTCTCGCACCCCCGACAACTGGCAACCCCTTTCCCCTGAGAATTGTCAGTCTGCTCCATTTCCATGCCCCTGATTCTATTACATTCACCAGTCTGTTCTGTTCATCAGGTTTTTTATTCATTTGATTTTTAGGTTCACTTGTTGATAGATATGTATTTGTTGTCACTTTGTTGTTCATATTTTTTTCTCTTTACCTTTTTCTTCTTCTAGGATACCTTTCGGAATTTCATATAATACTGGTTTGGTGCTGATGAACTCCTTTAGCTTTTTCTTATCAGTGAAGCTCTTTATCTGACCTTCAATTCTGAATGATAGCTTTCCTGGATAGAGTATT